TATACTAATTAAAATTTATTGTAAGCAATATTTTACTGTTATAATTTTAATTTTTTAAATGGCACTATGAAGCTGCACGGGCTTTTCTTCATTAGTTTTTTTTCTTTCTGTATTATATTTCCTTTGTTATATAATAAAAATTTTAGCTTATAGCGCACTTATATTCTTAATATTTTTTAATTTAAAAAAAAAATTATATCTAAAAATTAAGACAAATTTAAACACATTTGAAGTACATATTACGTATATTTGCAAAAATTTTTATTTACTATTGTTATTTAAGTACATTATTAATATCAAATATTCATTAATGTGTGTATGTATGTTTGTAATTTACCAGAAAATTTTATTAAAAATTCATAAATAAGTTATTTAAAGCGGTTATATTTTTCTGTTTATATTTATAAGCACAATTATAATTAAATTAATTTATGCATTATTAATTTTTAATACTTATAAAGAGATTTTGTTTTTTTTTGTAAAATTAAAATAATTAAAATTTTTAATATGTAAATATTATTTTTTTATTATTTTTAAAGGAACAAATATCATATATTCTTAAAATCAAACATTATTCATCATATACATTTTTTATATTTTAAAAACTTTAATGCCAAAAAAAAAATCATTAGAAAAGCCAGTCATTTATTCTTAAAATTGGTGTTATATTTTATTCAATATAATTTATACTCTTATTGTAGTCAATTTTTAAAAAATGAAATCCTTAAATAATTCGAAAAATTTCATTATTAGTATATTATATATAATAATATAAGTATATAGTTTAATTCCTATGTAAATAAATTGGAATTTGGAACAAATACCGTTGTATTACTTGAAAAATATTTAAAAAATTTGTTAAGGTATGTCTCATTTTATAAGTTATATAGGATGTTGCTACTTTACTTCATATGAAAATGATCAGTTACATAGTACGTAATGACACTGTACAAAATGCATCAAGGGATTTAATAATTAAATTTAACAAAAAATTTTGAAATGTTTAACTAAATGAATTTCATAAATCAAAATAAAATAAAAAAATTTTTATATTTCTGTTTGTATGAAAGTAATTATTGTCAGCCTACAATTGTAACTATTTGGCTTTTCCTGCTACCTCTGATTTAAATTGTGCAGATTTATGCATTATATAAGAACAATATTATTGCGTTTGGCTACAATCTAGATATTACATTCAAATACACATTGCATTTATTGACATTGCATATATATTTCATGTAGTGCGAACACAACAACAAAATGACAGTAATTAACAGTCATTTTTAAATTCAAAAATCCAATAAAATTCAATAAGCAATTGACAAAGCAAAAATTAAGCACGTATGCATTTTCGTATGCTCGAAATATTCATTATCTGCACATTTTACATATGCGTAAGAAACTACATTGAACTTTGCAGATTTTTGTGCATATTCAATATTGAACCTTAGAATTTGTAGTATAATGCGATATATTTGTACAGTTGAAGTCAGGGAATGTCAAATAATTGCAATAATTGATGTTAATAATGAAATGTAAAGCGTTATATATGACGCTTAGAATTATTAATATTAATATACGTTGCCAATCATTTCAATTACTCATGTTGACGATCATTTAAGTTATTTAGTTAAAGGTTATTTCATAAGTCATAAATAAAATCTTAATGCTGGAAATACAATTTGCAAATTCAGGCGATTGATTTGAATTGATTGACATACTTTGGTTTCGTAAAATAAAACTTTTAATTAATTAATTTCAAAGTTTAATTAAATTTTTTCTTAAAAATGAACTATCAAAAATTTTGGATTGTAATTGTTTAATATTTATTATACGCATAAATATTAATTTAAAAACTTGCATTTTATAAAATATGAAATATGACGTTTATTTTTAAATTATGACATTTTTAATAATCTTCTGGTGTATTAATATTTTGTATATTATTACATGTTATTTTATTTAACATTATAATTAAAATCATTTATGTAAGTATAACATACATAATTAATTTTTTAATATTAAAAAACTATAAATCTGTTATAACTTTAAGATCTGAACATAAACTTATTTTTCAAAAAAAAAAAAATTATTGTATAAAAAACTTGATATATGTACGTAGAAATTTTTTTTATTTTATATGTAAAAAGTTTTTATTATATTTTATATAATAATTAATTATAAATTTATTACAATATTATTAAATAATCTTACCATAAAAAATTGTTTTTAAATTAATTATTATCAATGTTTAATTATTTAGCAATGTACAAAAAACTTATGTCTATAAATTACCGTCATTTTAAAATACCAAAATTCGAGTTATAAAAATTTTTCTTAATTCTTTTTTTTTCTTTAATACATAATATTAGCAATTAAGTTTATTTCAGAACCTTAAAGAATACAAAATTATTTTATTTTGTTTTTAAGTATGAATGAATTTTTCTTTTAACAAAAATTTTGTTTTAAGATTTCTATATAGGAAATTTTAAAATGTAATTATTTTCATAATATCAAATAATATGTATATGTATACTGATAATTTGTGCTTCTTCTGTTATTTATTATATTACACAATTAAATTATTTATATAAAAGATTTCCAAAGGCTGATATGAAAATTGCATTTATTTCATTGGAAAGAGAATCTAATACAATAAATTTAGTTTAGTTTAGTGATTAGTCGTCATGGTGCTTGTGAGAACACTCAGACAAGCGATATCTAAAAACTGTTTTAGAATTTTAAGTAATTACTATTGAAAATTTTGATTAGTAATTGATTTTTTTACGTTATTGCCACAGTAATTAAATTTTAAAAATAATTTAAAAAAAAAATTAATAAAAATTTTTAGAAATTGTGACATTCTTGACTTTGTTTTAAATTTTTGTACTTAACAGTTTTGTATTATCAACCTTTGAATATCCTTCAAATAAACATAGTTAAATAAATTTGTTAAATATTCAACACTAATATTCTTATTATCGTATAGCATTTATATAATAGTTAATCTTTTATATGAAAATTTTAGCAGAATCTATCAAATTTTTAAAAGCTTTTTTTTCATATTTAAAATCTTGTAACACATTAAAATTTTAACTAAACACATGCTAAGATTTTCAAGTATATAAACTAATTTTTCGTTGATTTTCTAGTGCATTGATTATAGATGTTACATGCAAAATAATTTCATTATACGCCAGTATTCTGCATCTAAAACAAGACCGGCATAAAATTTTTCATTAGCAAAGTATTGACAAATTGTAAAAAAAAGTCATACTCAAGTTGAAAATTGTTAAACTCAAAAATAACTTTTTATTTTGGCTCTTTTGTTTGTTAAAAATTGTTAAGGAATGCTAAAACCGAATACCATAAATTTAAATTTAATAAATATATGGTATCAAAAATCTAGGAAAAAATTGATATAATTTACAACTTTCTCAGGAAGAGAATCAATAACAGAATATTATAGAATCCAGAAGACAAGCCAAATGATTTTCAAAAATTGCATGTAGAAAATCAATAAAAAATTATTTCTTTAATAGGATTTTTTTTATAAATTATTAAATTTTTAAAAATATTCGTAATAAATTGTTTTTGTTAATTTATTATGAAATAAAATTATTTTATTTTATATTAAACTATATAAAATTATTATAGAATTAAATAATATATTTAAAATGCAGAATTATGTAAAACAATTAAGTTTTAACTGAAACAATTTAAATTAAAGTTATTTATAAAATGAAAGGAGTTGAGAAAATAAAAAACGTAAACAATTTATTTAAATAACAATTAATTTATAATTAAAATAACAATAAAATTTTATTTAATATTTTTTTTTTCGATTTTTAATCTTATTTAATTTTTTATTTTAATATTTGAAACTATTTAATAGATAAAGGAAATTTTTAATAATTGTGTGTGATATTTTATTTTGTTTAATTTCTGGGAAAATAATATTTAAATTAATATAATTAATAAGAACACTAAGGTAGTACAATAATAATTATGATTTAATTTTAAATTAATAAAATAGAATTTTCTAATACAATATACGCATATACTTAAGAATTATTTATTGTACATATAATTTTTCATATTTTGTATCAGTGAAACTAAAATTAATAAATACGCACAGTTTAAATTTTTTTCTTTAAAAATTTTTTAAAGGTAAATTTATTTCTAAATAAGTAAATATGTAAATGTAAATTGTTTTGACCCATGTCTTTTTAATTTCTTAATCAAATTAGCCATCATTTAGAGATTGCAACATATAATGGGTTAATGTTAACCTATTTGTGTTTATTAATTTTTCTTAAGTTAACATTGGTACATAGAATATTTCTTTAATCGATCGCATGTATATACAATATGTAAATTGTGTTGCCATTGTGTATATTAAAGTTTATAGTGCTATACAGAAGACAATTTTTGTAATTACACAACAGAACTACTATTTTTGAGTTGTGCTGTTTTAAATTAAAAAACTCAATACTTATTAGCGCTTCTCAAAAAAGTAGCTTTTTGTAAAATTATAAAAATTTTCGTCTGTATAGCGCTATAAACTATATTTATACAATGGCATTACAAAATTTTATAAATTTTTGGAAGTTTGATAATTTTTTTGATATGCACTTCCACATTCAACGGAAAATTAAAGGCATTTCTCCAGAATGCTTAAAATATAAATTTTAAGTATGTTAAAGTGTGCATTTGCACATTAAGTTAATTTTCAAAGAAGTAAACGCGATCTTTCTGTTTATTAATTATGCCTTGCTTTTTGAAACGTGTTTCAGTGCTTTTAATAGAAGAAAAGAATAAATTTCTTGTCCTTTCTTTTTGATCATTAAATTTGACAGTTTTATAATCTCGAATTTCTTAATATATTGAATATAATATGACATACGTCACAAAGAAGTTCATAAATCGATCATTAGACTAATAAAAATAATTTAATTTCAATATTCGCGAAATATACATATGTACAATTCGGTCGATAATGTGCTATTTTTAATCAAATATTGTATTTGAATATTGATGAAAAAGTTCTAAATTTTTTTTTTTGGTTTGTCATTTAAGCTTTAGATTATTTAAATACCAACAGTATCGAACATTTTAAGACGCTAAGATTCCATATTTTCTTAAATTTTAAGCTATTTTATTACAAATTTTTTATTATTAAAGCAACACATATATAATATTTAATAATTATAAATATTAAAAATCGAAAATTCGTAATTAAAATATAAAAGTTATATTTTCAAAAATTTATTCAAAAATCCAATACATCATAATTGTCGACAGGTCGTAATGGTTTTATACCATTGAAAGCTTCAGCCAAATAATTTGTTATTATACTAGGTAATGTTAAATATTTTAAATCAGCTGGACTTTTAATATGTTTAATAATCTCTGCTCTACATCGATCCTGTAAATTTACAAAATCTCTTCTTGTATTTATTAATGTCATTTCAGTTTTTGCTGCAGTTGAACTAACAATTGGATATAATGGATGTTTAACCTAAATAATAAATAAGATATCAAAAATGAAAGAATTTTATGAATCTTTTAAAGAATAGATAAAATATTTATAGTATGCATGTGCTCGAAAGAATGACAAAATTGAACGCTTATTGTATAAAGCAACTTTGGATTTGTATAAAGCATTTTTCATCGCGACTGAATAAATTCGACTCCTTCCACCTATTTTGCTCGGTCAGAGCGCTCGCTTGGAACAGATTTCATGCTAAGATATTTTCTTGAGAAAATGGTATATCAGAGCTCGCTTATTCAAGGTTAATTTAACTTTTCTATACCTTGAGAATAGTTCTAGTACGACATCCATATGAAAAACTTTTATAAAAATAAAATAATTTCTATATGCGTTTCTAAATTTATGAATATTTGTTGTATGTAAGCGAATTATTGATCATATTCGATAGATAAGGAAAGGTATACTAATTTAATATAATAGTTTCAAAACAACTATTAATGTGTAAAAGATGATATGACATCTTCTCATTTAATTTTGACATTATCGTAAGAATAATTTGGAAAAAAAACTTATAATTTAAAATATGCATACCTTGTCTAGCCCTCGAAATGCAACACCTAAACATTCTCCATCTTTATAGTAAGTTAGTGTTCCATTTATACCATCAAACAGCAACCCTATTACTGTAGGACAGTTTTCTATAAAATTAAAGTCAAGAAAGTAATTTATTAACAAAGTTAATTTAAATAATCATAAAAAGTTAAGTATAGGATTAATAGGAATATTATATTTACTTATTTACCTCGAAATGGTTTTGTATACATAAGAGCTATTCCATTATTCCATAAAACACCTTTATGTGATAACCCCCATCCATTAGCATCTTCTCCGAGCATATTTGTAAATGTTCTATTATGCAAGCGTGCATTTTCTGTTCCGATACCAAACATTATACTAGTTCCATAAACTCTGTCACCAACTTGTAATTCCCAATAATAACGACCATTATTTAAAATTCTATTACCTCTTATAGCAGCTGTACCCCTACTCCAATTTGAATGGAAATGTACTCTTCGATTTTGATTACCACATAAAAGCGTTTCGATTGATCGATGCCGAGTACTCCATGTCCAATTATCTTCTACACCATATTGCAATGGAGGATTACGTTGTATATTCATTTTAGCACACTTTTTTGTTTTTTTCTCAGCATCCTGAATTGCACTGATTAAACAAATATAAATACGAGTGAGCTCTATTACTGTTATGTAAAAACATTTAAAAAATGCGTGTTCACTCATTATTAGTTAGTTAGAGCTCTCTTATTAATAACATTAAAGTCGGTTTGGCTTTTAACATGTTAAATATATGTAACTTTTAATACAATTTTGGTAAATTTGAAACCACTTTCGAGCTAATTAAAAATTCAATAGTATTATTTACGTTGAACGTACCAAAATACAATAGAAACAAAGCTCGAACGACAATATGCACGGAAATTTGTGTTATAATCGTCTTTAATTGATTCAAATTTATAATAAACTAAGACTTTCTTTTATTAAATTTGAATGAATAAGGTGATAAGTTTTATTGAAGTGGACGTATAAAAAATATTTAAAAGAAACTTAGTATGAAACGAGAAAAAATAGAGTTGACCGTGTCAACTCTGTGATACCCGTGCGAATTTGTTATCTTATGTGCAAATAAATATGCCATACATATATGTCGTATTACCATAATTTATGCAAAATTTCGGTACTGTATTTTTAATATTTTCTAAGATATGGCCAAACTATTATTGAAGTTGTAAGGCTGCTACCACAACGAGTCAAGACATTTCAATGATTTTTATCACAAATATTGGCCCTACTAGTATATTCACTTGTGTTAAACTTCAATGCCATAGCTTTTATAGTTTCTGAGATATAACCAAATAATTTTTTAAGTTGTATGGCAACTACCAGAAGCTACTCGAACTAGACTCGATTAGCTCAATTAGTTTTTGAGTTATCATTGGGATGGACGAACGGACGGACGGACAGACAAAGCTAAATCTATATCTCAGACCATTATTTCTTAGCTTTACAAACGGTAAGACAAATTTAGTATACCCTTCGAACATGCGTTCGTACGGGTATAAAAAGAAATCATTTTATAAAACAACTTTATTCGTCGAATTAAATATATTCGTCGTCGAAATACCCTACATGCGCCTTAATTCGGTATTAATGCATAATTCAGCTTATAAGATAAGAAATATGTAGTAAAAGCTTATATTACCACGATTTTCAAATTGGAGCTTCCAACAAAATATTTATTACATACCTATTAACATCATGCGTTATCGTTTCGACAAACTGATGTTGGTAGTTTGGTGCAAATTTTTGGCTACTCATGTTTTGTTAAAGTAATATTTTATTTCTATATGACATTACAAATTATGGATGTCAAATTCTACAAAAAATAGAAAAATAAAAATATTGAATAATTTTTTTAACCTAGATTTCATTATTATTTTAAAAAAATTTAATTTCTACAATTTTAAAACTTATTACTTACATTTTTTTTAAATTGTGTGTTATTACTGCTTTACACTTCCTATATATGCGATTCTTTTTTCAAAAGAAATTACTAGTTTTCTGTGTTTTTGAAAAATCTAAAAAATGGGAAATGTTATTCTATATTTTGGATTTAAAAAAAAGTTTATAAAAACATTTTAAGTGAAAAGTAAAATTATAATCCCTTTTAATTTTTCTTTTATTTTTCAAATGTATTATTATTATACTTTGTGCACCTAATTATATTGTTATATAAATAAAATAAAAATGCAAGTAAACTCGTCAAAAAACCGTTTTTTCTTAAAATATGTTAAATGGCCAGCTAAGTATTACCGTTGTCAGAAAAAGTCCAGCTAAATGTTTACATGGTTAAAATTGTTTAATAAAAGATTGAATAAAATAGATTTCAGATTATTTATAGCATTCGTTTCAGCTTGCTTGGTCTTTTGGGACCCTAATTAAAATTAGAAAAGTTTAATGCCTAGATTTGTTTGCGAAGTTATTTCTAACATGACTTTTCCTGACAGTACAAAATTGTGAGTTTTTTATATTTTAAAATGATTAACATTCTTTTAATCAAAATTCAAGAATCTTTCAAGAAAAAATCTATAATTTTGCAATAACATGAGTCTTTGAGCTTGTTAATTACATTTGTTCTTTTACATAAAAACCAGTTCATGGCATAATTTAGACAGTTCACTTCAAATGGCTACCAAAAACTATACAATACAATTTAATATACTCCATTACATTAAATATAAAATGAATATAAATAACGGTAAGTATATACGGATGTACGTTTATTTTCACACATATATTTGTATTGATGCACACATATTTCTATAGATTTTTTATTCATCCACGTCAATCAATTATGTGTCAACAACAGTTATTATGAAGGGTTGTTATGAATTTATTTTTACTCTATTGAAATAAAATTGAAACAAAAATTTCTAAAAACGTCTAAAGTGTTTCACTCTTCGAAAACAAAAAGCATACCTTTAAAAGAAAATTTGAAAAGAAGCATAGTTTCATTTACCTACATTTCATATATCATGTATGTATATATATTAGGAGGTTTACATATAGATTGTACAGATTATATTCCATAAGTTTATATTCACATACATGCATTGTTTGATTTTTATAAAAAAAAATCGTGTTTAAATAAAAAAATATAAGTATGTAAAATTATACATGTAAGTATATTATATACCTATACAAACTGGGGTTTGAACTGGGGTAGAATATTTTGTCGCTTTGTATAAATTATATTTTTTGGTTCTCTCTCATACTTCTCTATACCCTCATATAATATAATATTTGTAATCAACTTTATCAACTTATAACACGTTTCGAAAAAGGTGATTTGTGGATCTACTCTACTACAATTATAATGTGGAACAGATATGGGGTATAAAAACTTATTTTTATAACAACATTTTTGCATTATTTGAAAAGAAACGTGTTAAAGTATTACAGAATTATTTTTTTTCACGCGATTTTGAAAATATATATGTATGAAAAAAATATTAAATTTTAATGAAATTTCTATTTTAAAAGGAATTCAAATTCACGCATATATTCCTTTTATACCACTTTTAAGAATAATGGAACGCTACATACCAACTTTAATTTCAAAAATTAAGAAGAAAAAAAATATAATTTGATTTCTTTTCAAACATTTCAAACATTCTCAAAAGTCCTTGGCTCTTGATTGACGTAAATCGATATGTCAGATAAAAACAAAAATTGATTTTTTGTCAAGTATATTTTTAGTTTTTTTTTCTATATATGTAGACTTTTTTAATTTAAATTTAAAAAGCGTGCACTATACATTTATGTAACAAATATACTTATGTTAGTAAAATATATTTGCATAATATTTTCTAATAATACGATATATTATAATTATAACATAAAATTAAATAATATTAAAATAATTGATCTTGTGTAAAAAAAAGAATTTTGTTATATGTATATATGTACATATAGGTGTAAGAAATTAGGGTAATTGGAGTGTTCGTTTTATAAGTACACAGAGTACTCCGGACGTAGGCTGTCATAGGAATATGGACTGAATCATGTCAAACGCTTAGGTGTATAAAATAGTTCAATCAGAGTTAAATTACTGAAACTATTGGTTTCGTTTACTAAGTAATAATTAATATTACTTTACGTAATGGAACATATTAACAATATTAAAGAACTGGAAAAATGAATCCTTACTTCCTCAGATAATATGTTATCAAACAAATACAGTTTGATTACGTGTTGTTAAGTGTAGAGTCATTTTCTTCGTATTTTCTTTAACGTTGAATCAGTGAATAATTGCTAAAAATAATTTGAGGCAAATTAAACTCGAATAACATTTGTAATAAAAACTATTAGATGAGGTAAAGCTGTACAATTGAGTAACATTAGGCCGCACAATTAAGTATTCTCCTATTCTGTCAAATACTTGTTTCGATTGTAATGTGACAATAAGAAAGAGTACATGGATATTCTTTGAAAGAAACCATTTGATAAAAATTTACATAAGATTTTAAGACCAAGATTCTGAGTTGATTTAGCTTTGTCTGTCCGTCCGTCCGTCCGTCCGTCCGTCCGTCCCAACGATAACTCAAAACCTAATTGACCTAAGTTCACCAAATTTTCACTAGAAATTTTCATTAGAAATGATCGGGGTACCGGTTCGGGAAGCTGCCATACAACTTCAAAATTTATTTGGCTATATCTCAGAAACTATATAAGCTATGGTATTGAAATTTCACACACACGAATATATAAGTAGGGCCAATGTGTCTCATAAAAGTCGTTGAAATTATTTGGCTCCTTCTGGTACCTGCCATACAACTTAAATAGTAGTTTGGCACACACAATATTTTGAAAAACACACAGTACTGAAATTTTGCATAAATTAATATGGTAATACGGCAACTTAAAGTCATAATCTGTCCCATAGTCAGTTATGGCATCTTTATTTGCACATAGGATAACAAATTCGTACGGGTATCACAGAGTTGACAAGGTCAACTCTATTTTTTTCTCGTTTATTTTAAATTTATTTATTTATTAAATATTTTATATTAAGAAATATTTTATATAAGAAATATAGAAAAAAAATTAATAAATTAGCTGCGTATAAATTTAAGACCATTATATTATCGTCTAAAATAATAACCTTTGCAGCTATATAGTCATTTATTCTTTTTGGAATTGACTTGAAAAGGTTTAGGGGAAATTCTACAGGAAGTTCGGCTCACTCTTGTTATAAAAAATCTTTGTGCTCTTCTAATGTAGTATGATTTCTCTTCAATGCGTTGTCGTCCAATACTTTTCAAATATTTTCTATAATATATCTGGGCCGTATGTTGGCCATAACAAAACATTAATGTCTTTATTTGCAAAACATTGTAATAAAATTTTGTTTTGAGACGACTTGGATATCGCAGGTTCTTTCAAATTTTTTATAATATTGAATAGTCCTTTAAAATATCATTGTATGTATTCTAGTATGAACTCAATATAAGACTCGTAGAATGTTGAAAATAAATAAAAAAAAATGACTACGATTCAGTAAATCTTAGCCGACTGAACTACACCAAGGAAATTTTATTATAAAATCAAAACAAGGTGAACCAGAAATTTCCTCAAATTTGGGAAGAAAGCGGCACTCACTTATCAAATTTCATATAGCTGCTTCAATTATTTTTTGAAATTTTTAAAATTGATTTTTAGAATTGTATGACAATTTTTTGCACCGATCAAGCAATTCTACTAAAACATCTAGTGTATATCTAACCTATAATTGGACAACTGCTAAATTTTATAAGCTTTTCGAATATTCAAATCTATTTGAGTTATATGACAGTTACGCGAACCCATATTCTAAATAGTCCAATTACAGCAGCAGCCGCCTTTGGCAAGAAACAAATATTTTCTGAAAGTTTGGTAGTGCTTTCTTTCTTCGTTTTTAAATTATCAGATTTAACACATCGTATAATTTTACGCTAAGCAAGAATATAATACATATTCGTACTGCAGACAACTTCTTCACGTACTTACAAACTTATATAATCAAGGTATAGGGTACAAAAATATTTAGCCTCCAAAGATTTCATACATATATATAAATTATTGTCCTTCAAAATTAATGTATTTAAGTGCAATTTGTTATAAAAGAACCTAAAAAAAGTATAAAGACAGAATATTTACAAATACATATGTATAAATATATAGTTATAGTTATATAGTTTGTATATATATACAAAGCTAAAGTAAGTTAGTAATTATATAAATATTATGGCTTTATTATAGATATATAAAGCGTGTAGATTTTACATAAACAAGTATATAAGTATTATATAAGAAAAAAATTATTGTATGTGCATCATCTATTTAGGCCTTTAGGGCATAACTGCAAATATTGCTGCAGATCTTTCTGTGCCAAAATTTTACTTAATTTATTTTTACATAAGTACATACATATTTAATTTAGTGATTAAAAAATGTGCATATTTTAAAAAAGAAAAATTATTTGTTGTAGTGGGTGCAGTAACCAAAATCATAAATACAATTTTTGAGTGCAGCATTTTGTAATTTTCTAACCGTTTTCATGTAATATAGAAAATGGAAAGTTCCAATATTTTATCCTAAACTAATTCATTAATTTTAATATTAATATGTATTTAATAATTTATATTTAAAATATATACATATAAAAACTGTACATTAATTTAATATTCCTAAACAGATAAATTTTCGAGTTCTATTTAAACAAATAAATTTAATGAATAAAATTTGCACTTTAAATTTTTTCAATATAAGCAAGCACTATGTGCAACATTTTGAAGAATTTCTTTCAAAATGACTAAAAGGATTTTTTTTTGAAGTAGTTATACTTTATGTATAGTGTATCATAGGTATAGACAGACTTTCAACCCAAAAAGATATGTTAATTATATAAAAAGCAGTTCAAAATATTGAAGAACGTTTTTTAAGTTGAATTAAGACATTTTATCCATATTTATTCTTATAACATAGATGTATGTATATGTGCAGTATATGATTATGCTCAGCTGACTTAATCATGACTTTACCGCACAAAAATATTTTGAAAATGTTGTGATTTCTCTAGAATCAAAGCAAATTTTCAACAAAATAGTTATAAAATTTATTATATAAAAAAGTATAATTTTCAAAAAAAAATTTTATTATTACTTAAATTTTTTTTTTAAATAATTGTAATTTAATAATTTCGTTAGCGGTAAATTATTCCATTTTGTTACTTAATCTAATTAAAATTTCTAGAATAAATATTTCATATATGAAATTTTTCTATTAATTTTTCTATTTAGATAGTTTTCTGGTTTTTCTTGTTTTGGTTGCATTTGCATTGAATTGAAGAAGCAAAAATGACAAAAGTGAAAGCACAAAGTATGGGGTAAAGGAAAAATCGATAATCGAGATTTGATATTATTGTTTTTGTTGGTTTTTCTACTCATATGAATTTTTACATTGGAAATATTTTTATTTTTGTGTGCTTTTATGTTGCTATTATTAAAAACATTGCTCTTAAAATTAAAATTTAATTTATAAAACTTGCTAATTAGCTTATTTTCTAATTTACCTGTATAATATTTTTTTAACAATATAATCCGTCACTACTTCATTACAAAATTTATTTCCTAAAAATTATAGTCGCACCCCTAAGTGCTTAATATAATATGTATATGTGTGTATATTATTATTATTATGTAAAATATATTTTCATAATTTTATACATAATTTTAACATTAAACTAATTACAACATAACAATTATTATTCATCTAAATTTTTGTTATATTATTAAGTTGTTATATAAATATGTGGTTAAAAAAGTGTTATTTTATTAATTTTTGGATACTTTTATTATACATATATGATTTTTTTTTAATATTTTAAAATACATACATATAACAATTAATTTAAATTTTTTATTCTCATTTATATTTAATTATTTTTGTTATACATTTCGTATGTAATTATAATAATTATATAAAATATATTATGTATTTAATTAAATAAGTTGTTATATTAAATATTTAAAACAAATGAAAAAAAAAATGATTTAAAATTTTTCAGTCTAAACGCGAGTTCTAATTTTACGAAACCGTTTACCACTTCTAGTTATCTCTTCACCATTCATATAAACTATACCATCATCAGTTCTATCATAACCATATATAATTTTTGTGCAATTATATAAATTGTTATTGTCATTATTATTTGATCTATTCTTAAAATTAATATTATTATCTGTTGTTATATTATCATTATTATTATTATTATTTATATTATTATAATTATTAAGATTATTATTACCGTTATTATTAGAAATATTATTATTTATTGTTGTATTTAATAAACGTCGATTTAATAAATTTTTACTACGTAAACCATTACCATGACTACAACTAACACAACGACATATATTTGTTTTACCACCAGAAACAACAGATCGATGAGGATGATGTGGATTTGAATGATGTCGACATAAACCTAATGGACTATTTGCACAAAAACGACACGCATTTATAACATCACGTGAAAATATTGGATAAGAATAAGTTGAATGAAAATTTTGCTCCTTATTTTGTAAACGTGAATGTTGCGGATGTAACCAATTATCATAAATACTTAAAACAATTTTTTGTAAATATAAACAAATTGATCGGAAAAATAATATTACTACCACAATCATAAGTGTTTTTTTTTTAATTTCTATTTAATTAAGGATATACAATTATGTATATAAATTATATATATAAATAAAATTATGTATATAAATTATATTGATTAATATTTTGTATTTTATACTCGTAATAATATAAAATAGTTTTTGCTCCTAAAAATCAAACAAAACATTTTAAAAAATTATTATTTTTAAATATTATAAAAAATTAATGACCACTAAAAATTAATATAAATCAACAAAATACAAAAAAAAAAGAATATTTTTTATGTTTCACCTATTTTATTTTTTTTAAATTAAATGTTTCTTATTAAAGTCTTTTTATAAAAATTGATTAGATTTACATACATATAGATTTGTCTAAGAAAATTAACTATTTTTTTATTATTTCAATATTATAAAACAAAAATAAAAATCAGGAACAAACACAAAATTATTTTAAAACAAATTAATTACATACGATGATTTACAAAAAGCTTTTTAGTAAAAAGTGTTATATAAAATGAATGTGGGGATTATTACTATATCAGTATTGTCTCTATATATTCTATATATATATATGTATATTTAATTAATACATTTAAAATCAAAACAGCACAAAAAAAAATATATCCGTTTTGTGATGAACAAATATGTACCGTTAAAAACAAACGAACTAACAGGAGTTTGGAGGACGACTATTATCGAAAAGTACAAAATTAAAATATACATTTTCTCTCTAAATTATAATCATATACGCACGAACATACACCCCCAATTATTATCTATTATAATTTTGTTATTGTATGTAAAAATTGAGTTTGAACGTTTGCGCACAAGCTGTGATAAGAGAAAATACTCTTTTTATTAATTTATCATTTTAAGAAAGTATCCTTTACCGTTATAATTTAGCTGAACATAACAAAACATTACACACACCAAAATATTCGATGAAATTGACAAAAATTATACATGCGCTTTGCATTTTTCTGTCAAACTTTTGAAGGGTAGCCGAATATTATGATTCAATAAGTATGTGTATAATGTGATAAAGAAATTTTTTTTTTCATTTTTATTCAAACATACACAGATGTTTTTGAATTAATTTTAATAGGTTGCGTTTTTCATTAATGTCAGGGGAGTACAAAATATTATTCGACAATGTTAAAGTTGTGCTCTTCGTACGAAGTTTAAAAGGTAGACTAAAAAATTTTTAACTTAACATTGAAACATTTAAGGTAATAATAAACTGGTATAATATCAGATTATAAGTATATGTAGGTACAAGTAAATGTTAACTTTTTTTATTTTTCCATGGAACTGAAATTTATAAGCAAAAAGTATGATCAAATACCAATTTAAATAAAAGTTTTTAAAAATCATATGTTTACAGAAGTTTTTATTTACGATCTTATTCGATTCTCTACGGTTTGCAGCACGTTCATGTTCAGATCACTCTGTGTATATCAAATTTGAGTAATTTTTTCCAAAACCTTAAATTTTATACAAATTTTAACAAATTTTTCTTTAGTATAAGTGCATACTAAATAAATTTTATACTAAATGATGAAGTTTAATTTAAAGTGCGGTATAGATTGTAGATTGTTGGAGCGAGATATAGGCAAAGGAATTTTTTCCCTCCGACCACCGCAGCCAACTATGGTTTATTGTAGCCCTGCCATATCCCAATTACGGTTCCCGAAGTAAATACCCGAAGGTACACCTCGGGGAAACCTCGTCCAAATCATCTGCGCCTATTTATAGCCAGAGCAGAACGCCTAAAAAAAATGTCGTCTCCTCGTTATTCTGGCAGAATCTACAAAAAAAAAGAGTCCGATTTTTTCCAATTTGTGAAAGTGATATTTCACCGGACAATGTCTAGTGAAGAAACCAGTAGCAACATGAATCCGATTCCGGTTAACTCCAAGCACCGCTGAGAAGAACTTCTTTGAGCAAAATGGAAGAAATAGTTTCCCATGACGACATCCCTCAGTAGCTTTCTAGCGACGATTCGACCCCCCCTGAAGCACCTTGAAATGATTTCCTTCTTGTCACACTTACAGTAATGCGGAAGAAGTTAAGGAAAAGTTGGAACTCCGCTTACCGTAGAGCTCGCGAACCAGAACCATCTACGGAGAAAGGGCCCCCGTCCTTTATCTATCCTGAGCACCCTCCAGAAACTCATCATGAAGTGGGGATTTCGCTTCTCTATCCCGCTGACAAATTTGTCCCTGGAGAGATTGACGGTTGTTTTATCATTTTGCACTTAGATGAAGCAGACATGTTGTCTAGGTATAGGTATGTTGGCTAGCCACAAATTCCGATCTCTTAGCTTTTCCAACCTTTCATTCCCGTATCTACAAGCTTTCTCTGGGGACCGGCCATCCTCAATGTATGCTGCGATACGTCGCTTGGGTGCACCTGAGAAATTTTGTTTTTCCCTCTGATATCCAACCTCTTCAGATCCTCCTCATTTTGTTAGATAATAGGTCTCAAAGGATCCTGATTATCAGTCTCCATTGGAGTCGCTGCCTTTTTCTCCGCTGGCGTGAGAAGGAGTTCCTCCTCTGCGTCAATCGAGAGAAGTTTTGATTCCACAGACCCTTGAGCTCTTACTAATGTAATGTTAATGTCGTGCTTGGTATTGTCGTTGTTGTTGCTGTTGTTTTTATCGTTGTTGTTCCTGTTGTTTTTCTCGTTGTTGTAGTTTTTTAATTTTGTCTCCATCTTATTCGCACGAGTGGCACGGAAAAGTATAATCACCCATGGCAGAGCCGGACATACCGTGGGAAGGCTTATTTAAACTGGAGGGCTTCTGGTATTCAGAGTTCGCATATTAACGACTAAGCTTTCCCTTAGCCACGCAGGCATCAGCATATGCTGTTCCACCTTGACTTGTTTCAATCACCCTTTATCTTTCGTCATCGCCGGAGTCCACCACTAGGAGGTGGCAGTGGGGTTTTGAGGTCCTCCCCCTCTTTTTTTTTTTATATTTACGAGGTTTGCTACGCAATTTTTAAACTATTTTTGATTAATTAAAATATGAACTACCCAATTATCGATCGGGTCTTTGAACTTTTTATAATACATGCATATTACAAAAATTAAGGCTGTTTTCGAACCTGTCGTGCTAACTTTTTAACTTAATATCTCGAATTTGAACTTTTTGCATTGTGCCACTATTTTACACACTTTAGATTTTTCTAAACGAAAGAAAATATTTTTATAACATTTTGAACAAAATTTTTTTGGGAATAAGAAATATTACCATGATGAATATTTTTATGGCATTTTTGTGTCAAATTTTACAACGAAAGCATCAAAAAGAGCGTTATTATAGTAATTTTCTATTTTTTATACTATGGAAATATTGACAAAAGTTATTTTCAGAAAAGGTATATTAGGGTGTGCTTGCAAACAAAATAAAGAAAAAAAAATTTAACTAAAATTAATTTTATTTTGAATAATCTTAATAATTATCTTTTCTTTTTTATTTATATTTGAGTTCACTTCACTTGTTTCCTTTTGGAACAATCAGCGTTGACACTTCTTTTTGAAATTTGCATACCATAATTAATAAATAAAAATTATCAATTTTTTTCAATTAAAGATAAATGGTCAATCAATTTTCTTCAAATATAAGATTTTTTTTTAAAGTATGAATCATAAAATTTTCCGGAAATAGTAATAGATCGAAAACAGATTTTTAGCTTCAGCTCGATTTTACATTTTTTATCATATTTAGAAATTTAATATAAGAGTTCTGGTTAATATAAACTTAAGGCTACTTTCTATGTTTCATATTATTTAAATTAAATGCTTAAAGAAAATTTTCATAATCTTGTACAACAATACGGTCCGTTATCTGCTGTTTACATATTTTTTTTTTTTAGGTGCTACAAATTTGGTATTAAGTTCTAGAATTATTTGTGGGCTTTATACCATTAAATCTATGGTTACTAAATTAGTGCGAAGAGTCATGAGCTCCGGAAGTACTTTATACTTTTCAGAATGTTTGGAAACAAAATAGTGCGAAATAGCAAAAACATTTATGAAACTTCCACTTAACTATTAGAGAGATTTGGTGTAATTCATATACTTAGCAGAGAATTCAATATTTAAATTTAAAGTTTTGAAATTTTTTCCAAAAAAAAAATAATATTTTTTTAATTTTTTGTATTTTTTTTTAATTTATTTAGTTTTTTTTCTTTGTTTTTACATATAATTACAATATACATATACATAATATAATAAACTTTTCTTTCAATTTAAAAAAAAATCTAGTATTTCTTTTTTCTAATCAAATTAAACAAAAATTACATAGATTTGTATATTTAAATTATATTTACTTTTCATTTTATTTCAAAATTTTATTATTTTTCAAAATGATGGCAGTTTACAACAGAATATAACAAACAAAATTAGGTATTTTTTTTTATTAAGTGGCTAGTGTTTTTCTTCTTTTTTTAAAAATTATTTATTTATAATGAACAAAAAATTATAAATACGAATATTATAATAAAAAATTGGAAATTTTGTTCTATAATAATTAACTATTAACATATGTATGTATTTGAAAAGGAAAACATTGCTATTGTAAGACATTTGTAGATATTGTGAAAATTTAAATTTTTTAAGAAATTTTATGAAACACAATTTTAGGTTAGAAAAAATTTTTGCAGAAATCGTTAACATAGAAAAATAGACTGAAAATTGGAAAGGATTCAAAGGAAAATTAAGGATTTATTTAACATTGAAAATCCATTTAAGGTAATAAACTAAATTCTTGTAAATACACATATGCATATTTAATACTCAATGCTAACAGCAATACAGTATTAGTAATTATTTATTAGTCATAGATTATCTTAATATGGAATTATTTTTTCTTTCACAAATTTAATATATTATATTTTATACAATTTTTTCTTTGCATTCACCTATAAAATTTATGTAATTTAGCAAATTTTTAAATTTACATTTATTTTGAAAAACTGAAAATTTATTTGGTTTCTAGCTTAAAATTATAATATAAAATATATGAGGGTATTAATATGAAAATTTCCTGTTAACTATTCAAATATGACAATTTTTTTTAAATTATTTCTATTGTAAATTTAATTTTCTATTTATATATTGAAAAATCAGAAGTTTTTATCTCATTTTAGTTTTTTAAAAAACATTTTTGCTAGGAAATTGTTTCCAGATAAGCCTATAAATTATATATTTTGATATTTTAATTTATTATCTATTAAATTTTATATTTTCAATATTCTTTTCTATTTATTTTACAAAAAAAAAAAAAAACGTAGAAGGAAACTTTGTTGTTTTATTTAGTTTCGTGACAATTTTCTTATAATTACTATTTAATCATAATATTATGAACTTAACAAAAATTTAACTTAATAAACTTTGAGAAATATTAAAAACAAACTATATAAAAATTTTTAAAACTGGAATAGTAATGAATGTGAAATGTTTCTATATTTTTTACTTTACTTTATTTTTTTTTTTTTTAATATTTTTAATTAATTATAAAAAAATTTATTTAATCATTTATATTAGGTATGTTATACATTATACTTAATATCTCTTAATTATGAATTTTTGATACAAACTTTACATCTAGACACTCTTTGTAATAAATTACCCGCTTTAAGTGTTTGTTGTTCAGGCTTTGAGAATTGATATTGACTTTCAATTGTTGCTAACCAAAAACTAGTCAACGTTTCATAAAAATGGCAGTGGCCTTTGGCACCATTACATTCAATAAATGGTGTTGCTCTAAAATCTTCTAAACATGATCCTGGTGATGAAAGATCTTGTCCACCACCTCCATGTCCAGCACTTGTATGCTAAAAAACAAAAAAAAATTAATTTAGTTCCATGTATGTTTTTAATTTTTCTTATCTTTGTAAAATATATAATCTACAAAGCTTATTGTTAAATTTTTGAATTTATATTAATTTAATACCATTGCAAAACTATATCCAATCCATAAATCTTCCCAACCATTAGGGCAACGTGGGATTTCTAACGATTGACTATGCACGGCCATGACATTTGCAGGTACCTCACACACCACACATCTTGAAATGTATTGTCTAATATCTTCATTATTAACTGGCATCATTGGCATTGCAGCTGATGTTGCTAACCAGAAAGTGCGGTCATTTCTTGATGCATAATTGCAAACATTATTTTGATTGCATGGTAAAATAGGTAATGTTGAAAATCGACGTAAGCATGAGCCCGGTGACCCAAGATCTTGGTTATGAGCATAATCGTTTCCATCAACATATAACAATGAATATCCAGTCCATAGTTCAATGTGCCCAGAATCGCATCTAGGAACTTGATCCGTTTGACTATGTTTTACTAATCTAATGCCACTTAAATAATCTGGTGATTGTGAACATGGTAAGCCAGCATCACCCTTGGGCCCTGGGCCACCAGGTAAACCATCGCGACCAGGTGCTCCGGAAAGACCAACCGTGCCTATTAAGCCTGGAGGTCCTGGGGGACCTTGCAAACCTTGAATGCCTATATCTCCTTTTTCTCCACGTTCACCTTGAAGACCAACAGGACCAGGTGGACCCGGAGGACCCCTTTCGCCTTTTGGCCCCGGATAGCCAGATTGACCAGGCTCTCCCTTTGGTCCTGGTGGTGGTACTAAACCTGGTTCACCTTTATCACCTTTTTGTCCTGGATAGCCGTCACGTCCATCTAAACCTTTTGGTCCTGGGAAGCCTTTTTCTCCAATAGGGCCAGGAACACCAGGAACACCATCGAAACCTGATGAATAAAATTATTAAAATTATATATATATTTTTATGTAAAAAAATAAGCACCTGGTGGTCCTATATCTCCTTTTAATCCAGGAAGTCCCGGTGGACCACTTGTGCCTGGAATGCCAGAATTTCCTTTGTCACCTTTCAGCCCTTGCAAACCAGGTAAACCTGCATCTCCCTTTGAACCAGGATATCCGGGTTCGCCCTTTGGTCCAGCCGGTCCAGCAAATCCTGGGTTTCCATCTCTTCCTGGTGCTCCTTGGAAGCCTCGATCTCCTTTTTCGCCAACTCTACCTTGTAAACCAGGCATTCCGGGTGCACCAGGTTTTCCTTGCAAACCTGGCACTCCTCTATCGCCTTTTGGACCAGCAGATCCCATTAAGCCTTCACGTCCATGTTTACCTGGTCTTCCCGGAAGTCCTTTTTCACCTTTAACAACAACTCCTGGTATTCCAGGCTCTCCTATTGGTCCAAGATCTCCTTTTGAACCGGGCTGACCATCCAAACCTGGTAAACCAGGAGGACCAGGTGGTCCGATTTCACCTTTTTGACCATCTAGTCCTCTTAAGCCTTGTGGTCCATCACGTCCTATAGCACCAGGCAATCCAACCAAACCAGGCTCCCCGGTTTCACCTTTATCGCCCTTTATTGAAATAGCCACAGCATCACGACCCGGTCCACCAGGGAAGCCTCGATCACCCTTTTCACCATGTTTTCCGTCGATTCCTGGCCATCCAGCTAGACCTTTTTCACCTTTTGGACCAATGTTGCCTTGCAATCCTATTTCTCCCTTATCACCTTTTGCACCAGGATATCCCACTTGACCTGGAAGCCCCTTTTCACCTGGAGGGCCATCAAGACCAGGAGCACCTGGAATACCGGCTCTGCCTGTATTTCCTTTATCACCTTTGGCACCCCGAATTCCCGCGAAACCAATGTCACCTTTTTCACCGGGAACGCCAGGAATTCCGTCTCGTCCTTCTCTTCCTGGTTCGCCTTTTTGCCCTTGTGGACCAGGTCTTCCATGGCTAGGAAAACCTGCATCACCTTTCGGTCCTGGTGTGCCTGGTAGTCCATCTCGGCCATCAATTCCTCTAAGTCCTGGTGGACCAGGCTCACCTTTTTGACCTTTTTCTGAAGCTTCGCCGGCATCGCCTTTAGGACCATGTAAACCAGGATATCCTTGATCTCCTTTTTCGCCATTTAGGCCTGGACTTCCATCTAAACCTGGTAATCCTACCGGACCGATATTACCTTTTGGTCCTGGTAAACCAATTGGCCCTGGTAGGCCTTGGCGTCCTGGTAAACCATCGATCCCTGATGGGCCCATTTCACCCTTATCTCCTTTGGGTCCAGAAAAACCAGGTGGGCCTTGTTGTCCTCGAATACCGGGCACTCCTTTGGCGCCTTGATTTCCTTTTTGACCGTCAATACCGGGTTCACCTCGTTCTCCTTTGGGGCCTGGCATACCTACTAATCCTTGTGTGCCTGGCTCACCCTTTAAACCGGGTCTACCTTGGACACCGTCCATACCGGGTTGGCCCGGCGGCCCAGGCTGGCCTCTTGGTCCGACAGGTCCCGTTTCACCTAATTTAAATAACAAGTAATGAATAATTAAATGAAGGTACTGCAAGTTTTAACATCAAAAAGTTGTTATACTTACCTTTGGGCCCTACAGATCCAGGAAAACCGGGTGGTCCGACATTACCGATGTCTCCTTTTTCTCCGGGATATCCAGGAACACCATCCAAACCTGCTGGTCCGGGTTCACCTGCTATACCACGATCACCTTTCAAGCCGGCTGGACCATCATTACCTTTTGGTCCCGGCGGTCCAGGTAAAGCAATACCTTGTTCTCCTTTCGTACCTTTTTCTCCAGGACGTCCGGGTGTTCCCCTTATTCCATCCTTTCCTGGCGCCCCTGGGAAACCTGTCTGTCCTCTTATACCTGGTTCACCTCGTGGGCCTGGTAAACCTCTTGGTCCCGTTGGTCCTGGTGGGCCTGGCAAACCTAAATCACCTTTTGCACCGGTTCTACCTGGCACACCTTTCTGCCCATAATATCCTTTTTCTCCTTTCAGCCCGGGATCGCCTTTGTTACCTTTCACTCCTTTTGGAGGATCTTTTAACAAATCAGAACATGATCCAGGTTCACCTTTTTCACCATTATATCCAGGTTCTCCTCGATCTCCTTTAGTACCGTCATAACCAGGTCGTCCTGGTTCTCCTTTAATACTCTCGCCCTTTAGTCCTGGAATACCAGGTCTGCCAGGATTACCAATTATTCCATCGATTCCTGGATTTCCCGGATGCCCTTTATCACCTTTTAAACCTGTTTCTCCCTTTAAACCATCGAAACCTGGTGAGCCCGGTAACCCAGCTTCTCCTTTCACACCTTTCGGGCCAGGAAGACCCAATCTTCCCTTTTCACCTTTCTGTCCCTTAATTAGACTTTCATCAACAGGGTAGTCTCTACCAGCAACTCCATCTGGACCAGGTAAACCAGGTAAGCCGTCCTTTCCTTTTTCACCGGGGGGACCCATGGGACCTGGTGTACCGTCATCTCCACGTTCGCCTTGATAACCCCGTTCTCCTGGGGGACCTCTCACACCATCAGATCCTGGAAAACCGTCATTTCCTCGTTCTCCTTTCGTGCCTTTTAAACCAGGGAAACAATCTGTGCAACGACCACCTCGATCACCTTTCTCACCGAAATCCCCTTTCACGCCCTTGATTCCAGGTCGACCTGCTTCTCCCTTATCACCAGGTCTACCTGGTCTTCCAGGTTGCCCAGGAATACCGGCCTCAGTAAAACCGGGAGCACCGGGTAGCCCTTGATAACCGCGTTCGCCTTTAGATCCTTTGAGTCCTGGGAAGCTATAGAAAAAGATTAATATTTTTAAATATGAAATATGATGAAAATTCCTTACGCTGGGATTCCATCATCTCCCTTAGGTCCTGGTAAACCTATTCCTGGTTCACCCGTTTCTCCTCTAGGTCCTTCTGGACCCGGTGGACCCGTATAACCGGGAGCTCCGGGTTGACCTTGAAGACCTGGCAGTCCAGATTCTCCTTTATCTCCCTTTGGCCCGGGAGGACCTTCAACACCAGGTGTACCTGGAATGCCCAAACCACCTTTTTGACCTTGAGGACCTCTTTCGCCGGGTTCTCCTGGATATCCGTCTAAACCTTTAGGACCAGGCGGCCCTCGATAACCACGCGGTCCTGCTGGACCTGGGGGGCCTGGCGATCCGCGGCCGCCACCTGGAGGGCCTGGTGGACCTCTCAAGCCTGGAACTCCATTTTTACCCTCTCTGCCTGGTTCACCTTTAGCTCCTGGCTTTCCGTCTAATCCTCGAAGTCCAATATCACCGCGATCACCCTTTTGACCAGGTGGTCCTGGAGGCCCAAAACCTCCTTGTCGACCCTTGAATAAAAAGTAAATTTAAATAATTTTATCAAAGAACATGATGCAAAACGTACTCGATCGCCTGAGGGACCTGGCAAACCTTTTTCGCCTTTCATACCATCATTTCCGACAGGACCTTGAACGCCTTTTTCACCTTTCGCACCTGGAGGTCCGTCAAGACCTGGTTCACCTTTTTCTCCTGGTTCTCCTCTTTTTATTTCAACAGTGTTTCCAGTAGATTCTTCTTGATTCCTTGACTCTCCTTTTTCTCCTTTCTGTCCTTTCTCCCCCGGAACAGGTGGAGCCAAACATGACAAACCTCTTTCACCTTTCGGTCCCATATCACCTTTTGGACCTGGAGGACCATAAGGTCCTCGCTCACCAGCTTCACCTTTTTCGCCTTCAGGACCTTCTGGGCCCGGTAATCCTGGATTTCCAGTAAAACCTGGTTCACCTTTTTCACCTTTTAAGTAATCCCAATGTATAACAGCTGGTTGACCTTTTTCACCTTTGCTACCAGGAATACCTGGAGGCCCACGTGGACCTGGACTTCCAGGAATACCTGATAATCCTGGTAATCCATCAGTTCCATTACAACCATCTTTACCCGCGATACCTGGCGCGCCAGGGTTTCCTGAATATCCCTGCAGACCTGGAACGCCTGGTAGACCCGGTACCCCTGATGAACCTCTATCGCCTTTAGGACCTCTTGGACCTTGTGGACCTGGATCGCCTTTTTGCCCTTTATCACCTGGAGGACCTTCTATGCCTGGATGGCCTTGTTCACCTTTAGAACCAGTTGGACCTGGCAAGCCCGGGATTCCTCGATTGCCTTTTTCCGCAAAGCATTTTGGTATACAACAATCTGAGCCTGTGCAATTTCTTGAGGGATCTGCACCACTTCTTTGATTACTTACGGTATCTAATAAGTCGTAACTAGGATCTATAGGGGCTCTTGGTTGTGCCGTTCTGTAACTGTCTGGATACTTTCTACTGTCTATACCACCACCTGTATTTGTATCACGCCAAAATTGCTGCAAATATTGCAATAATAAATAAATTAAAATATTTTTTTTAATTTTAACTTTTAATTTACAGATTGCATATGTTTTAGAAAAAAATGTAAGACATATACATATTCGTCGACTGAGTGCTATTTTGATCCATATGCCACTTTCGAAATTTTTGATTTAAGACAACTTTCATAGGTTTTCGAAAATGATCTTTCAGTAAATGTATGTAATAAAATTTTCGCTATCTCATTTAGTTTCGTAGATACGTCGATGTCATTTTGATCCACCTTCACTTAAAAGTCGATTTGGGATGCATTTTGATTCATATCCAAAATCATTGGCGTATAGATCAAATTTTCATATAAATTTTTCAAAAAATTTTTGAGTGCTATATTGACCAATCATACATAAAAATTGTTTTGTATGACCTGGATTATTATAGAACATTACTTGTAAAACATAATTAAACAATCCAATTTACACAGTTCCAAAATTTTTTTATCCCATAAATTATTTTTAATTTATTCACCTTACTTGTTTTTTTTCACTTACTTAACTAAACAAAAAATATTTCAAATACTTCTTAAAAGCTTTAGATCGCTTTATATTTCAAGGGGGGCTTACAAAATATCGTGTAGAAATTTTGCTGTTGTTAAATGTTTGTAAACTTAAAACAAATTTTTATTATTCTCCTTATAAAATACCAGTTATCTCAAATATTTGAAAGTCTCTTCTTACAAAATGGAATAATAATGAGAATGTTCGCTATAAATTCATCTATTAATTAAATTTTGTACTTCTAAATACAAAAATTGAGGACTCAATATTTTTTTTCTTTGGAATAATTTTAAAAGCTTCAGTTTCATTTACGATTCGTCATCAACTACTTAAGTTTATTGATCACTTTAATACCCGTTTAACTCTGTTTTAAGCATTTTTTGAACAAGCATAATTGACTATTATACGTCAGTGTAAGCCTTTCGCTGACAAATTCAAAACATACATAGCCTTCATTAAAATATACTTTTGAAAACGGCTGAGCATTGTCCTACTTTAATGTCCGAATCTTTTGGAAGCAAATAAAAATGTTTCAGTCAACCTTTACAGATATAAATTGTAAATATATCTTGACAATCTGATTATAAGTCCTAGCGAACTGGCTGAAGAAAATTTTTGAGACATGTATAAACTATAATTTGGCACTTTGTTACCGAATTTCCTGGTGTCACTCCAATCGCTACCGAATTTTCTGGTGCTACCCAGCTACTAAAACTTCTAAAATATATCTGAGCTGCATTTGGACACAAAACTGCAACCCTTCATGCACTTTTAAAAGCTTTTATTACTTCAAATATTTAAAATTAGTACTTAGGGTTTTATGGCAACTTTCCAAATCTGTCAAGCTATTTCATAAACTTTTCGAGACATACCTGAGCTGTGATTGAACACTTGTCTTTCATAGGTTTCCGTAATGTCCAACATTCTAATGTTGATGTTGGCAAAGATAAATACTTTTAAATTACATCACAAATTCACAAGGCTGTTATTAAAATCTTCACTATGCCTGTAAGTTTTTCCAATAAACATTTCAGTCGCGTTTTTCCAATAAATATGAGGAAAATACTGGCCGACGTATAATTATTTTAGAAATTTTTGAACTAGTTTTCTAATGACTTGAATCAACAATTAACAAATATTCATACTTTTGAGACTAAAAAACATTTAGTATTGTAAAATTTCCAAGGTCAGAAATTTTATGAAGATTATTTGATGAAAGTTAATTATACTAGGACTATAACGCAGAAAATCTTATTTCTAATAAAAAAATCCTCCAGATTAGCAAAAACAAATTACATATACACTTTTAACTGTTCTTCAAAAATCTTTTGGAAATCGCCCAACACGTCGTTTTTGAAAGTAATCCTTTTCTGTCTTCAAATATGAAACACATATTAAGTTTTTTGAAACTGCCAATTTGAATTTTATATTCCAGTTCACAGATTTCTAGAACATAAAATTTGCTTTTCACTAAAATCTGACGAATTTACACCACGGTTTGATTTTGTACTTTTAAATTAATTAATTAATAGAATTTCTTGAAATTTAATGTTTAAATTCTATTTAGTAACGAAACTAAGTGAAAAATTAAATTTTGTATTAAATCTGGTCATCGACAGTGAACCTCTTCTAAGAACAAAATTTACATTTTTGTAGGCACATTAATCAAAAGGTTATCAAATTTCGTATAATTTTAAATAAGTGTTTAAAGAATTATTTGACAATCTTTAACATCTCAAATTTAAAATTTAAAGTTGTTTGCATATGATTTTTTTCTCTGCACCTTCGGTAATACCTTCACGTGCCCATTTATAGGTTAAACTTATCCGTGAAAATTCTATAGAATGGTTTGACATATTCGAGTAACTTCAAAAGCAAGTTGTTATACACAGATTGTCAAGGTGAAGGGTGGAGTTGAATCGATTTAGATCGACTGCAACATTTTTACTTGTTATTAATTTTAAACGGTTAAAATTTGGTAGTAAATGCTTGAAAAAATTAACAGTATGAAGAGAAGATTAATAGGGAAATCAGGAAAAATTCCTATAGTTGATTGAGTTTTCGAAACTTTAAGTTCAATCAAATTTTTTTGCTTTCTTTTGAAAATGTCGGTTTATGTAAAAGCAAAATGACTTAATTTGAAAGATAAACAAAAACAAAGTGAAACTAATATTTCCTGTCAACATTTTAGAAGGAACCCGCTTTTTTCACATTAGTCGACTGACTTTTGTTTTAAGTGAATGTATAAACCTTCTCGAAAGATTGGGGGATGACGTATACGATACGGGGGATACGATATGAATTTTTGATTAAACGTGTAAGCACAGACGACGACGGGCGAATACAAAGAAAAGTATCTTAAAACATAAAACAAAACAATTTATGTATGCATAAAAAATTAATTACAATTATCTCCAGTGGTTCCAAAAAGATTAATTTAGTTCGATACATAATAAATTTCTATATACATAATATTTTTATATATACATATAATATGTTTATGCCTTGAATAAATTAAATTTAGGTGATAATTTATATATAACGTGTCATGCAAAGTACATAAGTATACACTTTTAAAACCCCTTTCTTACCGCATTGGCACCATAAAAAATTCCTAGCACAAGTGCGGTGGCTAGCAGCCTGCAAATATAAATAAAATTTGAAATATTAATTTACAAAATAAGAATCTAGAATTTTAAAATTTATATGTATGAATTTGTGTGATTGAAAGCAAGCATTACGTAATTTACACAAAAACAAAACATTTTGATGTTTTTACACCTTATAAGTTTACAAAACTATTATGTAATTGTTGTGCCAGGACATTCAACCAAGATAGAGATGGCAAATTTTATATTACATATAATAATATTACTAAAAAAGTTTTTATCAGATTCTGTATTTTGTATTATAATAAATAGAAACTTATCAAAAATTGAAGTTGTCTTGGGACAGTGCACAATACTATGGTGTTTTTCTTAAATTTGCTATTTTCTTAAATATAAAATTTGATTATACTATTTGCATTTTGCATCACAAATTTGTAAAACATTAATATTTTAACCCGTAACAAATAGATAGAGGAACATAATTGTGTTTTTTAAGGTACGCTGGTAGTACAGTAAAACGATTGAAAAAACTTCTAAATGTTTTTTTTTTAGGTTATAAGAGAAGTTTTTATATTATAATACAAAATATATTAAAGAGCAATATGAACTTAATTGGAAAATAAAGAGACAACTGTATAGTTTTTTTCTAAAGTGCTTTAGTTTAAAATTTCAGCATTTTTAATTTAAAAAATGTATAGTACTGAAATCAATTCTTTAGTGGACATTCTAATTTTAGTTTAAAATCAGTCGTGTCAAATAAGACTAGTATAATATTAAATGTAAATAGCTTGAGAACTTCTGAATTGCATCAATAATGGGGAAAAATATCAACGCGACTGTTAATCCTTAATGTTTTTAAATACAAATTTTTCTTTTCATACTATACTCCTTAGTGAATAATTTATTAAGTTTGATATTGATCTGGGTTGCAATTTGTTGATAACAAATTGTTAAAAATATCGCTTAAAAAGCCCTTGTGTGTAGAAACTGAAAAAGAAGCTGTGTAATTTAACACAGAGGACACTCTTCTTTTCAATCTTTTTTTCAAATATTGTAATTAAATTAATTATTCGAATTTTTTACAAAAATTTAAGACGCTAGCAAGCTTTTAGTTAGCATTTCTAGAAAAATGTATTTTGGCTCTCAGCAATGAATCACTTTATGAAAATTCCTGAAAAGTTCGGCAACCTATTCCGATGGAAACCAGAATTCACATATTAAATTTCAATTCAAGTCATTCTGTCAATTAGTTCCTTAGATATGATAAAAAATGTAAAATCAGCCACTGATTCAGTTTTCGAAGCCCTAATGTTCCCAAAAGTTTCTAAGTTAATTGTTTAACACTCTAAATTGAAATATTATATTCCAACAAGATTGGATAATTCTTTCATTTTATGCACACGAAAAAACAAATTTGTATGCACTGGTCGGCAAAGTTTTTATAACAAAGTATTCTATTTTTTAGTACTTTTCCAAAAAAAAATTTAAAAAAAATTTATTAGTTTGACTCTATTCGCCCGTTTATAAAATTTCTACCCCCTTGAAGATAGAAACTTATTTCCGTATTAGAAAATTTTTACAACTTTTACCCAGTTTTATTTTTAGGAGGTAACCCACTAAAAGTTACAGTCAGCCAAAAACCTGAAAATGCCATTGCTTGAGCATTTATTTTAAAGAACCTATAAGCATTTTCTTCTAAACAATAAGTTGTGGGAGTCTGAAATTTTTGGCAGCTGTTACATATTAATAAATGGTTTATTTCATTAGAAGAAAATTTTTTTGCAATCCGCCTCCTCTTAAGTTGTCGCCTCAAGAAATTTTTAAAATTTGTATTTTCGCCACCATATGTTTCCAAAACTACAAGCTTTTCCAAATTTCAATAACTGCATACAACTAACGGTAAAAACCATAACATAAAAAAATGTAAATATTTTTCTTAACCCACGCAATTAACCCTTGTATTCGAGCATTAGGTTAACCGCTTATTCAATTTTTTTTTTTTGCATCAGCCTAAATGTATGCAATATTTTAAATATTTTTGTGTATCAATGAAAGTATGTATTATAAATAATGTCTAAATTAAATATCTAAAAGTATGTAATATAAATTATGTCTAAATTACTAAAACACTCTCTTATAGCCTTTGCAACACAATTCAAATTTTTAATAACGTAAACTATAATTATTGCTTTATCGCAATTTGAATGTGTTTCGGTAGTTTATAAATAATGTGTGCACTATTTTTACGTACATACGTACATATTTTGCGTTTATTCCCTGCAAGAAAATTGAAAAGAGAATTTGCAAATATAATTAAATACACTTTTATAGTAGTTTGTCAATGTGCCCAATGATATCGAATATTTTCCACTTGCAAAAATCAATCAGAACTGTTTACGTACGATTACTAAAATATTTATTGTTTTATATGAAAATGGCTTTTGTTTAAGTGATACTTGTTTTTAATTTTTACACAAAATGCGTTTATGTTGTATGCACAATGTTATTCTTCTAAAATGTCTCTTTAATATTAAAATAGGTTTTAGAACTATTATGTGTCTATAATTTTCTGTTTCCGTTAACTTATTTATTAATATTGTAATATTTATTATTTTGCATTAATTAAGTAATGCAAAAGGGAATAAAAACCAATTCGAAATCGCAGTAAAACTGGTGCAAATGGAAATAATTTGAAGAAATTGTATGTAAACATTGAGGTTAACATTTAATATCATTACTTAAAATATTCCATATTATTAATTTAAACAGTTTTCTTTCAAATTAAATTAATTTTTTAAAATTTCACAGTAAATATCAAAATTTACAAGGGTTCTATTTAAGACTGTATAATACTCTAAGCGAATTACATTAATTTTAAGCGTATGGTTTTAGTGGTTGAGAGTAATAGTTATACACATTTACTCCTGTAGATTATTTAATATTTTTATATCAATAATAAGAGTCAGTCTTTCAAAACTAAATTATTTAAATTAATTTTTAACGCTGTATTACAGAATTGTCATACATGCACAATGTTTCAATTACAAAAATGCAAACTACTACTGCAACTGTTACTATATATTACTATTAAAAAAATACAGGCATTTTTTATTATTTAGTTTCTCTTGCTTCCCTTGCTAATTGCATTTAAACTGAAAATATATCCTAATTTTCTCTTCGTCTGCTGAGTATGCAGCTGGCCTTTACTATTTTTAATTCCGATTTATCAACCCATTTAAAAGATTCAATGCTCAGAAAATATTAAAAAACTATCCATATAATATTAATGCGAAATGTATGTGATTATACTGCTCATCCTATGTCAATTCCCGTATTTACGATTCGTAAGTAACATAATAAAAAAGGTTTCATACAATTAATACTCGTATTGTAATTTTTATTATGAAGTGTAAATATAAATATTTTTTTGACCAACAGAAATTGAAACGTCACCTTCACCTACAAAAAAAGCTGTTTTCAAAAACGTCATTTTAATGTTAAGCGTCGTCTACAAAAGGCTTCAATTGATTGAATTTGTAACAAAATCTCTGAGCTGTTCTGAATGTTTCAGAGCTTAAGAGTTAATCAGCTTAAAATATTGAAACTTGGTTGAAATATGTAGATAATAATTATTGGATTTTGGATTTCGAAGTTTCTTAAAATTTTAATTCTCGGTAATTTCATATACAATTTTACTAAATCTTTAAATGAAGCTTTTATGTTTTTAATTAAATAATATTTAATATAAATTCAAGTTTTCACACAAATTGGCTATATTCGTTAGGTATGTTTCTAGATAGTAAAAATGTCAAAAACAAAAAAAAAATACTTATTTAGCGAATAATATAGGAAACTTTGCATATTTTCCATTATTCTTTTTTGTTTTCATTTTTTTTTTGTACTTAAAATTTTATAATATTTTAGTTTTTTAAGCATACTGCAAACATGCATATTTTATAACACGTGCTTTTTTCAGCTAAAAAATAAATTTCAAGTGGTGTTTAAAATAAGCGATTGTTTTTAATATAAACAACCGCTTGTAAATTTAATGTTTAGCATTTATGCCTAGTATGTGTAATTACTTTTATGAATATCAACAAATTGTTTTAGAAAATTGACGTATGTAGAAAATTAAAAAGTTTTACAATATTGTTTTTTTTTCATATTTTAGGAAACAAATGAACTTATTAGTTATACAAGATATAAATAATTTTTAAATATAAAACCAAACAACATTTTTGTATGTTGAAATTTATGTTATAAATTTTAAATAAAATTTAATATATTACACTTTAATTTATTATTATGTACATATTATATAATTGAATGTAAAAGAATTCTTAGCTTCAAGCTTAGTTTCATCTGATTTATGAAGAATAAATTTAAATTTACGATGATAAATAGAAAATGTTGCTATTCGGCTTATAATAGGCAAGTTTATTGAAACAAGCATTCTTCTGGTCCATATTTCAAAATGAACTGAGACTAAAAATTAAACATAAAAAAAGCCCTTTGAATAAAAGTAATAAAGCTTAAACTCCATAAAATTCCTAAAGCAATTTTTTTGTTTTTTGCAATTTAGTCGCTAAAAAATTATTGCTAAAATTTAGAGGTTCTAAAAGGTTATAAAGTATAATTAAATACATTTTTTTTAAGTTTTCTGTTATATATGTATGTATGAAACTTGCCCTACAAAACATTTAGTTCTTAAATCGTAATTCTCTTTTCAACTATAAAATAAGAAAAATAATTAAAAGTTTATTATTAAAATTCTTATTTTTTTTAAATATTAAAAAGCAAAAATTAAGTTTTAAAAAAATTTTAAATTTTTCTATTTTTTGTTGAACCAACAATGTTCAACAATTTTTAATTCTACAATATTCCACATATAAAAAACGAATAAATGAAATTTTAAATTACACAAAAATTAATGTTTTCCTCTGTGCACATTTTAGACTACATAATGTTAAGATTGTGAATTTATGTAAATTGTTCTTTAGAAAATTAAATTTTACATTGTGAAAATTCTAAAATAATTTTGATGTCATATTGTCGTTTAAAATTATTTATTACTAATAATAAAGTTGAATTTTTCTTCTTCAAATAATTAATGCGAGAAAATTATTATTATAAGCTAAGCTTTAATTTTTAAATTTTTATCAAAGTTAAAAATATAATTTCTAGTGCATATACTGTTAGCATTTTTTTAAAATTTAAGTTTATTACTAAAATTATTATTAAGTAAAACACATTTTAAAAATATTAAATCAAATATTAATAATATTTATTGAAATATGAGTTAGAAAATTCAGTAAATTAATTGACTAGATTAGCCGGTCAAAAAAATTTGTCGAAACAAGTCAAATAATTTTTGCTCTCAAATTACGAAATTATTTGTTTTCATATGCAATCAGAGCGAATTTTGACAATTCGGAATCTAGTCAAACTCAACTACATAAAAAAAACAAGAACTGGTTAAATATGCCTATTCAATGTCAAATTAATATTTAATTATTCAAAAACACAACAGTAATGTCAAATAAAATTGAAAAACGTAAATACAAATTTCATATTGTATATTTAAATTGCATTTTTAAATTATTTATTTTATTCTCTAAAATTTTTAACTAAAATAAAAATTAAAATGATCTAACACTTACCGCTTCAAGAGGGGTTCCATGATTTGGTTGACCCCTAATTTTTAGGGAAATTTTTTATTATTTTTGACTTGTTTGAAAAACAAAAAATCTTATTAAATTTTTTTTTATAATTTTTGAAATTATTTTAAATTATTTTTCTAATCTTTTTCTTCTTATATAATTTTTTTCCAATATCACACTTTCAATTTGACAAACAACATTTAAATGTTCGTTGGTTACACAGAATTTTTTTTTAAATCATAATTTTCCTATGGCACAAATTTTTTCGTAAATCACAATTTTTTTTTTTTGCTATTTTTTTTTTTTATCTCTGGCAATTTTTAATATACACACACATGTATATAAATTCGATAGGAATACAAAATGAAAATCCTATAAAAATGAAATAAAATTTTTTAAATTTATAATTTTATTTTTAAAATCTATTAATCAAAATTATGTCAATTAAATTTTTATCGGCATTAAATGTATATTTTTATAATAATTTTTCACTTTTTGAAGAAAATGTTTGTCTTATTCCTTTTCAGAAGGGGTTAGGGGAGCGGGGTTGGCGAATTTATCCAAAAGGCAACAAATGCTTTTTTTTTATCATTTTGGAGTTTATTTTATTTCTTTATTAAAAATTCTACAATTTTAAATATTTCTTTACCATTAAAATAAAAATTTTAATTCGTGTTTTTAAATTTATTTTTTTTAAGAATAATTTCTTAAAAATTCAAACACATTTTATGAGAAAAAATTTTCAAAATTATTTACGTGCATTCATTTACTTACACACCAAAATTTTTTCAAAAAAGCAGAATATCCTTTAGAATTAAAGATATTAATGAAAAAAAAGAATTATAAAAGGGAAAATTGATGAAAGATTTTAAATTTTTTTTCAATTTTCCGCTTTGCTCAATAATTTTTAATAAAGAAATAAATTATTCTTTTTTAAACTTATTTTTTAATTTTAACAAAATTTTTTATAAAAAATTTAATTTTATCGTTACGTTTTAACTTTTTTTTTATATAAATATCTATATAATTTTTTATATGTATATATATTTAAAATAATAGTACATGTAAGTATATGTATGTACAAGAAAAAAAAAATGATTTCTTTTTTTATTATTAATTTATTAAAATAAAAAAAAAACGGAATATTAATTTTAACCCATCCACCCAAAACGGCGGGTTTTAAATGGGTTCTTTCCAGAGAGCGATCTAATACGAATGATCGACTAGAATGTACTGAATTTTAAATAAATTACAAGTTTGCCGAATAAGAATTAGACAAACATTTTAGTACCAGGTCTAAAGTCGAACTACTATTTCTACCAATATAAATCCAATGGGAGTAAAAAAAATAATTTAAAAAAAAATATAATACATTCAAATAATAATTTACATATATATATATATTAGCATATAGTATATAACAAATGAAAGAACAAAATATAATTTCATCCAGTCTCAACCACAAAATATTTTTATATCAAATATTGTTACATTGCACACACACACTATATACCTACATTTTTTTTTTGAGACAACTTTACATTATCAACATAACCACATGTAGGATATCTTTACATGTGTTGGTTAGATTTTTTTTTCCAAAATACAAAAACAAATTAATGTGTTATTGTATTTGTTAAAAGATCAGTTTTTAGGACTTTTGAAATCTATGTATGGGGGTGAAAATTTTATGGAAAAGAAAATTAAAATTTTTTTTTTTCTCGACTAAATACAGTCTTGATAATAAAAAAAAATTTGTTGATTGTGTCAACTTTTTTTTGCAAAACGGTGGGCCAATACGTTTTGGAGATGTTTGAGAAAGTGCTTTGACTATAAAAAGTACTTCCTCAAACCTCCTTAGATCCACATGGTGCTCATGGGTCTTGTTATATTAATTCGTATGAAACCGGGTCCATGTTTGCTGCTGGCTCGAAAAACCAAGTTGTGCTAGCGAAACCCCATGTATTGACATCAATGACTGATTATAACAGTTTACATACCCTGGAGGGATTTTCATTTCATAAGCTGTGTTCTTTTTGCCCCCGGCGAGCCATTTTCTAGTCAAGTTTTGTATGAAGGTGGAATAAAACAGGAAAAATTAAAATAAGAATTAAAGTTGAATTGCGGCGATGAAATTTGTTCAGATTTTGAACATACTTCCCTTTGTTTCCTTTTAATTTATTAAAACTTATAAGGAAAAATTAGATACAGAAGAAGAAATTCTTTTAAAGGTGATAAAATCTTGAAACAGGGGATTATGTAAAGTAGATTTTTTGTCTTTTTAACAAATTTAGGAACCATTAAAGTTGTTTTATGTAACTATAATTTTAAAATGAGTCGATCCGATTGAAGTTGTGAATCAGTTTTTGTTTTGTTTTTTTAATAGAAAGCGTTGATAGAAATTTGGGTTAAAGATTTTTCATTTCATATTTAGCCAACCAATAAAACGGAATCTTATTTACATTACATACTTAATTCTTACTAAATATATTTCGTATACACAAACATAAATATCAAAATTTCGTGCATAAATTTTTGTTACTTAATGTATTTAAATACAAAATAAATTTCAATTTTCCACAATTTCTTTCTATATTGTTATTTTTGCACGCGATCAAAAATCCGGTGTATGAAACAATGATCTTCACACTTGATACTTAATATATGAAAATAAAATGTATAATAAATAAAAACTGCATATGTTTGTGTTGATTATGTGTTAGAAGTGTATGTAAAATGAATGAAGCCAACATAAAACAAGCGAGAAAAAAATAAAACAAAAAGTGAAAAACAAAATGATTAAAACACCATTTGATAGTCAGTCATACTTAATGTATGTGACTTATATATTATGAGGCATTAGATTCTATATCAAGCAAGATTTAATGTGCTACAGAAATAAATCTATTTCCATACTTTTATATAAAAACATATGCATATAAATGTATGTTCAAATTTATTTATACTTATATTTATATATAGAGACTGTGTATTATACACGGTTCATTAATGCATGTGTATGGGCAAGAGAACCTACAGAAAGCCTTTTTATTTCTGTTTTAATAATATTTTTCTTTTGCGGGAAAATATCACTACCGTAAGTAGTTTTTGTTTGTTTGAAGCTGGAAGAAGCGAAATGTGAGAGTATTTGTGGTTTTCGCTACATTTATTTTATTCTAAATTTTTTTTTATTGTTGTTGTTTTGCTATTTTTCATATTTTCATTTTAACAATGTATGGATTCAAGAAAAAATTATGATTTCAAACAAGATATTTTAGTACCAATTCGAACGCTTGTCGATCTCCATGTAGGGAGAGATTTTAGTATATTTAAATTCTCTTCGTCGTATTATAAAAAAATGCCGACTTTCGACATTGTCGTTTGATGATAATACGAAAAAACATATTTGAAAGTCGGATATACAAAAAAGGACTTTAAAAGAAGTTCATTTAAAAAGAAGGATTCATTACATACATACATGCATGCATTGATTTAAATACATGTGTGTTGTTTTAATTGCAAATTTTAAATTTTTACCTTGCATTTCAAATGTTTTTTAATTGATATAAGTGAAATATTTTTATGATATTAAATAAGAAATCAATTTAAAAGGACATTAAAACGGTTAAATTTTTTTTTTTGAAAATTTATTTATGACATTTATAAATTAAAAATAAAAAATTAACTGTCAAATATAAATAAAATTATAGATTTTGGTGGAACACAAAAGAAAAAATAATAAAGAAAGAAAAAAGATGAAGGCTCCCGGGGGCCAAAAAACTGGTCTCAAGAGTCTAACTCGGACTATAAATTATTTATGGACAATATCATTAGTAATATATTTTGTTGCTTTCATTGAATTAGGTAGTGAATTTGCTGTTGCCCAACGACAACAACCAAAAAAGGTAATTTTTAATAAAGCATGTTTTTTAATTAAAATTAATTTATTTATTAAAATTTTATATTAAAACAAAAAATTTTAATGGTATTTAAGATTTCAAGTTAAATTTTTTTTACTTTTTTTAAAATGTAAACATAAAATATGCACCCATGAGAAATTAAAATCAGTCAACATTAAATAACTAAGTCAGCAAATAAATCGTAAATTTTACAAAATTGCAATATGATATTCAATTGAAATTCTAGTCTAGAATTTAATTGTTTATTCGAGAAGAGGCAATGTGTTGAATAAAAATGTGATTATTTTCTTTAACTTTTCTAAAAATTGTAATTATTTTTATTAACTTGAAAAATAATTTTTGAATTTACTAATTTGGTGTTGAAAATTCTAGTTATTAAAAATATTAAATTATTATTATTTTAACATAATTGCGGGAAAGATTTTTGTTATCAAATAATTACAAAATCTATAAATTATTTTGGTTGCAATAATAATTTTATTAAGTGACATAACATAATTTTGCATTAGATTAAGTGTTTAAATAAATAAACATATATGAAATGTTACAGATATTCACTGTATGCCTATACCAATAGTTTTCTGTCATAGCTACAATAATAATTATAAAATTATAATCAACCCTGTAAAATATTCAAGTTCAATATGAACAGTTCACAGTGTGGTGCCATATTTTATTATAAATATACTTTGTTCACAATAGTAAATGTTGCACAAAATTCTATTCATTTTATAAACTGAAAACGTAGTTTTAATAAACATTTTTATGTTGGTATTTGTAACTTTGCTTATTTCGTATAATTCAAGAAACGTATAGAATAGACAATAAATAAAGCATATGATAATTTGTTAATATATAAATAAATTTTAAATCTGAATATCATTTTGTTCTCATATTTTAGCATTATGATATCACTATTTTCTTATAACCTTAGGAAAATTATAAATTTTTATAATATTTGGGCAACTTGTGATCGTCAATATACCGAGAATGCAAAGCAAAGTAATTTATTTTTAATATTATTTAGTTAAGAGCAAACAGAATATTCAGAAGCTATTATAAGCTTATATCTACATCTAGTAAAACGAGTTGAATCACTGTAGAAATGACAGGAGAAATAAAGTAGAAACAACAATTTTATTTTTCAGTTTTTTTAATTATAAATTTTTAATACTTGAATCCCTATTATTGACAAATCGAAAAAAAATTTTATTTTATTTAAAAATGTTTTTTTTGTTTACAATTTATAGTAAATCATTAATCTAATAAGACAATGCTGCCAATCGCGAACGTTAAACAGAAAATTTTCAAACTCAAATCAGGCTTTTTTGTTTTTTAATTTCGTATTTTAAATTCGAATTGTCTCAGGCGCTGTTTATATGTATGTACATCAAAATCTAAGATTAACTCTATGCCAAAATCTGGGGGCTGTTAAGCTTATCACATTGAAATTATCTGAAAATTATTACTTCTACAAAAAAAAAAAAAAAAACAATTATTTGCTGCCATTTTACTTTTAAAAAACGTGACAGAAAATCTGATGAGAATAAAGTAATTGGTGTATCATTTTCCAACAGAAATTATGTGATGTCAAACAGTGTTTGCATATATGCGACTTTCGTCAGACTTAGATTAAATGTTAGATTGTGTCCAATATGTAAGCAATACCGTAAAAAGAAATATTTTTACAATAATTTTTTGGTTATGAACTTTTAATATATAATTTTTATTTGTAATTTATTGAATAGTTTTAATATACAAAGTTGAATTAAATCGTTCGTTATTTTTAGTAGAATTCTCTTCGTTTTGCAATATCAATTAAATTATTTTTGTTAACTTCAGACTCATTTCAAAATCTATTATATTAATAATGAATTAAAATTAAATTAAAATTAACTCATTTAAAGTTTTTTTTTAAATAATTAAACACTTACAAGCAATGGCTAATAAACACTTATTGTTTAATGGCTAATAACAGTTCAAATTTATTAAACTCTATAAAATATAATTATTTTCTGTTGCAATAATAAAAAGTAAATAATAAAATTGTAAAAACTTTAAAGAAATTTAAATTCAAATTTCTCTGCTCTATAATTTATTGTTAAATTAATTAAAATTTGACAATTATAGAGCAGAGAAAAAGTAATGTTCAATAACTACAAATAATTAAAAATTTTCTTAACGAATATCACTTATTCAGCAATCAAATTAATCCGAAATTCTTAAATAAGTCAACTTTGACATTATCGTAATTTAGCTGAACGTATAATTATTGCAGTACAGCAGATGTGTTAAAGACTTCCACAAATATAGACGTGTTATAGATTTTAGTATAAAAATTGCAAAAAAAAAAAATAATTTAGGAATTTTATTTGAAATAAAATTCTTAAATTATTATTGAAATTTCGTAACGAAATTTTTATTTTGTAAGCAAAAAAATATTTACAATAATTTATAATAATTTACCTACTTGTAAATAAAGTGCATACTTTTTAACAAAAGTTCCAACTTAATTCAATTAAATATTTCGATGACTTATAATTCGCAGTTTTCTTATCAATTTTCAAAATATCAGATAAATATTAAAATTAATAATTTGTTAATGATTTTAGAACGAATGGATGGACATAACGGATTTGTTATCAGTATAAAATACAAAGTATTTCAAATAACTTTTAATTTTTTTTCAATTTTGGTTTTTCCCCTTTTATAACACCATCAAATTCTAGTTCGAAAAATGATCATTTATTAAAATTTATTAAATTTTAATAAATCGACAAAATACAAAAATCATTTTTCATTTAAAGAAAAAGGAGATTGAAATAATTTTAAATGAAGAAAATTGTAAATGTTCGTTATTAAGCTTAATCACTAATCTCATTTATTAATATAAAAATTTTGCCAAATTTAAAAATTCAAACAAAATTACTTCGGTAGTGTTATCAGCATTTTCATAATTAAACCAACTAAAGCTATTTTTTTGACAGAAAAAAAACCTGTAGAACAAAATACAAACACATACCCATAAAATATATTAATAAAATTTTGCATAATGTTCTTATTTATGATGATAACCAAACCATTTGTAAGAACAATCGATTTTCGTTTAAATTTTCAGTAATGGTTAACTCAAAGAATATTAAAAACAAAAAAAAAGAGCTCGAAATTGAAAAAATGGAAAAAGATCAACTTCTTATCAATAAGAATAAAGTCGAAGTTCAATATTTTGTCATATATAAAAATAGATCTAAATTATAAAACATTTTAATTTCATTAATAAGAAAACAAAACATTTAATAAAATATATTTACAAAAAAAAACTTCATCTAAAATAAAAACAAGAAAAAATAATATGAAAATGAATTGAAAACCTTATCACCAATGACATAAAAAAAAGTCGGAGCGTAGGCTCAATGAACATAAGAATATTTCGTTTCTTTTTTTTATTCCTTGTAAGTTTCAATTTTTATAAAATAATTTTTGTGTTTTTTGTTTTTTTTCTTGTTTTTTTTGTCTTGTTATCAAAACTTTGTTTTGAAATCGTTACAAAATGTGTTCCCACTTTTTATTCTTTGTATTTTCTAATATAAGTAAATCTGAACTACCGGAAGTTATAATCAATTTTTATAGGAAAATATTTTCATTCCTCTTACATTTGTAATATAAATACATTTTTACATATCTTAATAAATACACATAAAATATGTATAACGAGAAAAACGAAAATAACAAATAAAATGCAATATTTTTTTTTTTTGCTTCTAAAATGTGCGAAAATCAAAAAGCATTTTATAAATCTGAAAATGCATGATTAATACTAATTATTAAAAGTAATAATTGAATTGACAGATAAGTGATGCATTACTCATTGATATACTTACATAATATGCCTTCAGCGCTATCACTGTCTACTCCTCCTTTCTTCGTTCAATTGTTAAGCAAAAGCTAACTACAAAAGCTTTGTTGACCTAAACTTCGTAGATACAAGGAAACTGTGAAGGAAAAGAAGAGAAAATCGTAAGGTAAAAAATGCAAGTGTTATCCTACAAAAGATTCTATAAAATGTTTGAAATATTATAAAACTAACTTTCTGCACTGACATATTTCACAAAATCTCATTTATATACACACAATTTTAGTAAATTAGATACAGTTAAAAAAAGTAATTGAGACAAAAACAAATTGTATATTAAAATCATTTGACACAAAAGAAAATTATTATTAATTCTTAGCTTAAAAATTCGTACATAACACTTAACATTTGAATTTCTTATACACTGGAAATATTCCGTACTGTCAAACGCAAATTGAAACAGCTCTTAGACCTTATTTAAATCTAAAAGTAAATACATAAACTAACACTGAAATGTCAAACAAAGCAAACATGTTTTTTACATTTCGGCACATTTTTTGTTTTAAGACGTTGACATTTCTATTGAAGATAGGTTCCTCTATAAAATTCTATATTATTACCATGCATAAATTATTAGACAATTAATTACCAATTAAATTTAACGCAAAAAGTCGAAAATTAATACAAAAGTCATTCGGAATTTTTTAAATGCACTCTCTTTTCCTTGCGTTTCGAAAACGCATTTTATACAATTCGGAACGCGTAATATTTTTTTAAGATACAAAACGGAATATGATACAATACCAAAACTTTTAAAAAAATCAAAGAACAAAAGAAAAAAGCAATGTCTTGAATTAATAACAGTTATTTCAGAAGGGAATTTTTAACTCCTGTGATTATCACAGGACTTATTCAGTTCACCAAAATGTAACTTTCCTCTAAAAAGTGTAATGAATATGTAACTTTTAAGTGAAAAGAAATCACGCAGCTTTTGACATTTAAAGCTGAAAATATTACTCCTTTGAGTAATATTCTTTTGTTTGGTTGTTCTTAAAAACATTTTAAAAAGTTTAGTTATAACTTTTTAAAATGGTTCATATCTCCACTAATTAAGTTTTCAATGCTTTAATGA